ATTATTATTATTATTATTATTATTATTTAGTAGTAGTAGTAGTTTGCAAATAGGTGTGTTCAGGGGTTTATGATAGTAAAATAGAGTAATGGTTATTTATTTCTTTATTCTAAATGTAATGAATTAATATAGTAAGTATTTTTGCTATTTAAGTTTTTTTCGTTTGTATCCCTCTGCCTCTTTAAACAATTTGTATGTGCTTTACAACTAAGTAATAAAAATGTTTTTAAGTGTTGACTGTGACATAATTAAATGAGTATAATAATAAAGCAAATCTGCAGTGTGCATTGTACTAACACAAAAACATTTACGATGCGTGTATCAGCTTCATGTGAAAGACTACCCTTGAAATTCAGCGAATATAAAAGTTTATTTTGATCTCTATATTTATGGATTTCTAAAAACAAATTATGAATATTTATGAAAAATATAAAAATATTATATGTGTAAATTGTTTCTTTTTCAGTTTGATATTCATTATTTAATTAATTTTATTCATTATTTACCGTGACTTTATACAGTGGTTTTGAGCTCCTTTTTTAACATAATCTCCAACATGTTTCTGTTATTTGTGTTTTAAATTAAATAACTCACAATTATCTTCATTTTTATATTTTGTTTTCAAAAGTTTAGATTTCATTTCGATCACTGCTGCTCTGCAGGTAAAAACAAATAATATTTTGAAAGTAAAACTGCTCTTTTTCCCGTTTGTATGCCGCAATTTGACGCAGCCAGGAAATAGGGGCGGGGTCACATGACGTAATTTGCAGGGAGGGAAAGGGTGATAATTATAAATATTATTTATATTGGTTTCTGTTTAGTTTATTATTATAAACATGAATTATGTGCTTGCTAATGGATCATGATTCCAACGTCTCTGGACTTTCAGACTGACTCCATCACAAGGTTAGGTCTTGTTTCATTTTCATGTTCATGACTTATTTCTGTTCAGTTTCAGTTTCTTCCTGTTGTTGGATTAAAGCTGCTCCACCCACTCTGCAAAAGTCTTGAGCCATCTGGCCCTCCAGTTGATCCACCTACTGTTTCTGATAAAGTCTCATCAGAAACAGTCTCAGTGGAGGGATGGCGATTCATCACAGCTGGATTTTTAGCAGTAACCCTTCTGTCCTTATTTGGGGCCCAGCAACTTTGGTTTAGAGCGATGACAGCAGTATTTTTGGTAGAAATCCAGGGACTGGGATATTAAGACTGTAGAACGTGTACCTAACAAAGTGGTCAGAGTATGGAAAAGAGTGAAGACAGGTTTCTGTTTTTAAATAAACAGTTTCTTGATGCTGCTGCTGATCCTGCCCCCCCTTAAACTGGTATTGTTTAAAAGGTCAATACATAGAGTTATAGCCATTTCTCTTACAATTCATTTAGGTTAATTGGGCAAGGTTATTAAATGATCTCAACTCTGGGTAATAATAATGCTAAAATGTATAATCCCAGTTTGAACGACAAGATGTCGTAATGACTCAACATAGCATTGATTTAATGAGGTCATAACGAGGACATTCTTGTTTGCAGTGATGGCCTGGGGAGAAAGCCTCTTTAGGAAATGAGTGTTGCTAAAAAATAAGAAACATCACATCTGGAACATTTCAACACACCCACCGGTGAAACAGTGCCCTCTGGTGGTGAAGGTTTTAGCCCAATTGAGAGTAATTACAAAAAGCACCTTTATTGAAGTTAAGTAGAACCTCTCTCTGGTGCTGCCATATTTCCTGATGGTTTGCTCAGTGTTCCACTCTGACTTTAACAGGATACGCTAAACTGTTTCTGAATAATTTCAAATAAAAACAAGTGTTAAGAGCAGATGCTAAACTTGAAGCATTAAAGCTGCATGTTTGAGTCCAAGTGTCTGAGGTGCAAAAGAAAAACAAAACAGAGGAGAGACCTTTCTTTGTAGAATTTTTATATATCCGGGTGAGTAGGAGTGAATAAAGCAGTAACAGGAAGTGGAAAAAATAAATAAGAGGACCTTTTACCCGCAGTACTACTGTTACAAAAATACGATAAAGAATATGCGAATGGAACGAAGCACTGATACCATCATTCATCTGATATTACAGTAAGAAACGCTCATCTCATGCTTCTTGGTGAAACTTGTGCGTTACGCTTGCTGTGAATGTTAAGGATGTTGCTGCAGAAGCCCCGCCCCTCCACAGCCAGCAGCTCCAGAGAGATATGACGAGTCAGCAGGATAGGCGGGCGGGCGGGGGGAGCCTCCAACAGCGGCCTCTCCCCTGCAGCTTCAGTCCAGATCCTGGACACGACGGCAGATCTCAGCTGTGAACTCAGAGCACTTTGCACTTCCTCCCAGGTCCTTCGTCAGAACCTGAAACACAAACACATCAGTGAGCAGCAGCTCTTATTTCACAGGAATCTGCTGCAACCAGCAGGTGGTGCTGCTGACAGCCAGCCTGGACTAAAGTGCAGACCCATCCACAGCCACTGGGTGGTGCTCAAACTGACTTCTGTTGAATAAGCCTCCTAAGGCGTAACAATGTATCAACTGTCATCTCAGAAGAGCTCAACAGGAAGTATCCAGCAGCCTCCACTCAGATTAAAAGCAGCCCTGTCAGCAGAGTGTCATGTTTCCCGTCTGCTTCGCTCCAAGATACAGGAGTGTGACAAACCATTAGAAAAAAAGATCATACAAAGTGTGATTTTAAGGAGGTCGTCCTCCAGAATGCACAACTGAAAGTGTAAGATTTTTCCCTGGCGGTCCTGGAGTAACTGCAGCTTCTCTCTGAGAGCATTTCAGGTGTCCTCAATATCATTCCAGCTGTTATTAATGACATTAGCAGAGGTTCTCAGACTCCACTAGAGTGGCTTTGGATGATTCACAATTGAAAATAATCCTATTTATTCTGGGCGTCGATGAAACCAACCAGATCGCCTGATACAGGCCGTTTAAGCTTCTCTGCTTTCTCTCGAGCTTTTCAGGCCACCTTGCTCGTGATTGGCTGCCCTTCATAAATAGAAGGTAGGTGGGTGGGGCTGCTAAGACACTGCCCTTTCTTTGTCATCATCCAAAACCAAGAGTAAAAATTCAGTGTTTGGATCAGTCGGAGCTTTTGGCACAACGAGTTACAGACACGCTGCTTTCATTGTTTGAAACTTCGACTTAAAGGAACAAAAATACTGGAGCCCTCCAAGGAGAGACTTCAGCCTCACCTTCTTGTCTCTGATGGTGTCAAAACAGGCCGTCTGGATCTTGTCGGCATGGTCATGCAGACCCATGTGACGCAGCATCATGACAGCACTCAGTAACAGGGCAGTGGGGTTCGCCAGGTCCATGCCGGCGATGTCAGGGGCGGTGCCGTGGACCTGCAGCACAAACACTCATTTTAATTTGTCAGCAAAACAACAATAAATCTGCAGGTCTCCTGATTACAGACGTTTGGTCACAGGATTACAGGACTGGTTAACACTCAGATAATTACACTGTAAAGCTGCCTGTTACAAGTTCAATCCCAGCATTCAGTTTTGTGGGAAATATCTTTTAAAGAGTTTTACTGATGGGATTTTTCTGTGTACCAGGTCGAGGTGGAGCTCAACATTACTTCACCCCAGGGCTCGACCGGAGCAGCTCTGCATAATTCACAGTTCAGATTAAATCCTTATTCATCCCTTTACTGACATTTTCAGTAGCTCCTGTCTCTTTAAGGACACGACTGCAGCTGCTTGTGTGTGTCCACAGTAAGGTTACAACTCGGGCAACTGCACAGACTCTCAAACTCATTCCCAAATGACCACAGTGACATCTCTGGGGTGAGAGCCCCCTCCCTAAATTTCTACTTCTACCAGCAGTAAATGAATCCCTGGGAATGGAGCTTTTGTTCCCAGGGAGTCATTTACCTCATTGGTTGAAAGACTAAGAACACCTGACATCATATAACAAATTACAGAAGATCAGAAAAGAATATTTAATCTTTTTAAAGCATCTGCTTTTAAAGATTGTACATGCTTTTTGTGCAGAACAACAAGCAAGTGCAGTAAAACTACAGCACGAAGAGTAAAGTACTCAGTGTATGAAGCACAATAAAAGCAGATGAAGTATCATAACTCAGATGAAGCTGCACGGCACTAAAAAAGACAACGCCATACAAACCGATTCGAATATGGCGACTCCGTTGGCGCCGATGTTCCCGCTGGGAGTGACGCCGAGGCCTCCGATCAGACCAGCGCACAGATCACTGAAACACAGTCACATGACCTCAGCACTTCCAATCACAGCCTCTGATTGGCACACAGGTTTCAGAGCGAATAATTCACTGACCTCAGGATGTCTCCGTACAGGTTGGGCATCACCAGGACGTCAAACTGGGTTGGATCCTGGACCATCTGGAAAACACAAGCATCGGGACATGTCAGGAAAGCACGGAAGAGGATAAGGGCCACTGGAAACAAAACTAAACAAAAAGTGGGCACATCTTTCTTTCTTTTCCAGAATTCTGACTTTTTTCTCAGAATCCTGGAAAAGCAATACTACTGAATACTGAAATTAACCCCCACGTCCATCCAGCTCTGAACACACTCATTAAACATAATTATTTCACTGTCTGGATTAATGAGGTAAACACATTAAATGCAGACTGTGAAACAGCTGCAGAACATCTGGCTGCTGAACTGTTTGGCGGACTCACATTGAGGCACACTGTGTCGAGGTACATCTCGGTAAACTTGATGTCTTTGTAGTTTTCAGCCACCTCGCGGCACTTTCTCAGAAAGAGACCGTCTGACATCCGCCTGCAAACAGAGTCGGAGTTACACAACAGCAACA